CTTTCCACTCGAGGAACCTCCGCTGTTCGACATTTGCTAAAACTAAACCGAAAAACAAGTTGTGTGGATGTGGAGCAAGACATGGAGCACTATATATAGAGATGAAGGCGTGTTCACTATGAATGCTACTTGAAAAAACTTATGGTACTCATTTATTGAATCAGAAGGCTATATGCTTCATCGAAAAGCCTACAACCATTTGGTCATTTCATCCGAAAAGGGTGTTTTGTCACTTCATCTAAATGACATCACTCGATATTAAATACATGGAGCACAAAAACGAATCTAGGCTTTTCGGTGAGTTTTCAAATAGACTTTTCATTTTATATATTTTTAGCCCTTTAAATCAGGAAGTCCGTTGGCAGAATGGAGGAGGAAGAAGCAGGGAGACGCACGACACAAGTCAGACACAATCTGTTCGGAGTGACGAGCTATTGGGCCACTGTGTTGTTGTTGCATGATTTTGCGGATGCCAATATTCAGGGTAGATGAGATGGAACCCTGTGGCTAAGAGCATCGAACCCCATGCGCCAGTGTGCCGGGGTCGGTGCGGCAACGCCTAAACATGGTCTATTTTCAGCAAACGTTTTGTCAGAGGTCTTTTTATAAAAAATGTTTTCAAAAGGGGCCAAAATGCAAAAAATTCACACCAGCTCTGCAATGCAATGTGTTTTGGCTATTTGCGAAAAGGAAGCAACCTCGTGGAGTACACGTCCTTGGGAGCCTTGGCAATGGCAAGTGTGAGTAGATTGGAGACTGAAAGCCAAGTATACGACGGCTCACACGGCTCGCTTCCTCTTATCTCGCATTTGCTCTGCTCCCAACAGGAGTAGTGAGTTCCAATGGCCACGGGCACCGCGGCGCGGGAGTGAAGCTCCAAGCCTCCAACGCTTCCTTTCGCGCCTTCCAATGGAACAGAGCAGCCCGTTCATTCATCATCGGTCCAAAAGGCAAGGGGCTCCTCCAACGAAAGGCGGCACCGCCGTTTCAAAAGCCGAGTTGCTGAAAACTGCCACGGGGGATGGCAAAAAAGGAAAGAAAAGGGCAAAACCACTCCTTTTGGTGCCAAGAAAAACAGCACGAAACGTGCTGTTCCGTTTCAGCCTTTCGTTCGACACGAAGAAAAACACAAGTCTTGATCGAAATGGCTCTTGCATCAGTTTACACCTCCATGGGTAATTTAACAATTTAAGCGAATAGAATAAATAGGAGCAGATCACGATTTTAATTTATTTATATATTTACTTAAATCAGGAAGTCCGTTGGCGGGGGAGGAGAGCAGAGACTATGGAACGACACAACACAACACAACCTGTTCGGAGTGACGATATCAAAGCTGCATGATTTTTGCATTATTCAGGGAGATCAGATGGAACCCCACTAATGCATGCAAGCAACACGCTTGCTTAACAACGAGCTTGTGCGGAACGAAGGAAAGAAAAGAAAAAAAAATTAATGCCTTTGCACCGATGCTATGCTACCCTTTCCTGGGCACAGGCAGCAGAGGCTGGGGAGAAGTGGACAACGTGGCAGGCATAACTTGGTGCCACCCCCAACCAATTGCAGAACATCCATTGCCAAGCTTAATGCAAAGTTTCGCTAAACAAACATCCTCCTACTCGATCCTCATGGCAGGAAGAATCAAATACTGACGACATTCAACGCACATATGAATCACAAGCACAGTACACAACAGAAACAGTCGACATCATGCAGAAAAGGGAAAGAGGGATACCACTAGTTCTCTTGCAAGAAGTTCATTGTTGAACTGAACCGAACCAAAGGAGCAAAAATATGGTACAGAGGAGGATGGAGGGGTGAGAAGAGAGGTGAAATTGGATGGGATAATGCCCAATCTTTTGCCCCCACCCTCTAATCCTCACATGCTCATCAGAGTGCAAGAAATTCATCATTAAAAAAAGCAAGAAGATGAAAAGGGCGTGGAGCAGAGGCGCTCCCTGATCAAAACCCTCCACCTCCTTGTTGGTGGTCTCCTTCCTTCCCCCTATTCTACAAGAACCGGCGAGCGGCGGCGGAGGTGGGGCAGCCCGATCAGTTCCAGGCGCCCCACACCTTCTCCCCGATGAAGCGCACCAGCCTCCCCACCGTGCTCTTCTCGGCGCCACCACCGAGACCGTCGCCGATGCTGCAGTCGCCCTCGCTGACCACCGAGGCGGCGTCCCCGTCCCCGTAGCCGTCGCCGTCCATGCTGCTGCCCCCCTCTTCCTCCTCCTCCTCCTCGTCGCCGTCGCACTCGTACTCGCCGTGGTGGTCCATGCCCACGCCCATCCCCGCGCCACCGTCGCAGCCCGGGAGGTGGTCCACGGCAGGGCCCGTCTCCGCGGCGTCGTCGTCGGCAGCGTCGCCATCGCCGCCGCGGCGGCCACCGCGGCGCCGGCGCCGTGGAGGGCGGCGCGGGGGCCCACCACCTAGCCCGCCTCCTCCCTCCTCGACGGCGTCGATGATGCGGTGGATGAGGTGGCGGTTGGGCGACGCGTCCCAGCGCGCCCAGAAGCTCTTGTAGCAGCCGAAGCAGGCGCAGCCCATCTCCGGCGGGTGGGGCCCGCGGCGGCGGCGCGGGCGGCCGCCCGCCGCCGCGCCGCCGCAGGACAGGAGGTAGGCCAGCACCTCCTGCTCCTCGGCCGTCAGCGCGGACGCCAGGCCCAGCACGGCGGCCGGCAGCGCCACGGCCGCCGCCGCGTCCGCCGGCGCCGGGTGCACCCGCCGACCCTTGCCGCCCTGGTACAGCTTCTTCATCGACCCTGCTCAGTGGCTCACTCTCCCGCTCGGTCGCTCGCTGTCGCTGGCTTCCCCGCCCGCCTTAGCCGCCCGCAGACTGGGGTTAGGTGCCCACCAACTGCTCGACGAAAAGCCAAGCGGAGGCGACGGGCGGGAGTTGGTGAGTAGGTGGCGGAGGCTCTCGTCGGCTAGGACGTAGCTGTTTGGAGTAGCTGCGGGATGGCAGCCGCGCAGCTCGTGCTGGTACTGCTTCCCTTCCCTACCGAGCCCGAGGGTTTTTGCTCGCGTCGGCTCTTGCCCTTTTGGGGACGAACAAGGCAAAGGAGAAGCCAAGAAGAGGATGGGGGAGGAGGACAGGAGGTTGTGGAGGTTGGTTTGGTGGGTGGGAACTGCGAGCTGCTTGCTGCCTAGAGCCTCTACTCCTCTACTACTGGGTGGGAGAGGGATGGGGCGGGGACGGAGGAGGACGACACGGGGGGAGGGAATCTGATGGGACGGAGAGAGGCCCCCGGCTGGCTTGGCCTGGCCTTGGATTTGTGTGGTGGCGACGGCGTCGGCGACGGGAGTAATCTTTGGTATGACCACGTAAACGTAGACGCCTAGACGGTCCTGGTCTGAGGTCCGGACGCGACAGACAGCGGCGGCATTCGGCATACAGTACGGCTGTGCCTGTGCTGTTGTACCGTGTGTGTGCACGGCCCCCGTGGGCTACGTTTTCAGACCTTACGGTCACCGCACCACCTTTTCTTCTCCTACTTTTGCATCTTTTTCAAAGTACACCGAGGGCCTTTTTAGGAGTTGAATAGGAAGACCACCGGCAGCATGAGGCACAGTTTGGAACACGGTATTTTTTATGTAACGAGTTTTTATAAAACTAAATTGATTTCTTATGAAATTGCTAGCATACGAATTTCTATAAAAAGTACCGTGAGCTCATACCCTTAGCAAGTGTTTGGTCGGGGAACGATGAGGAATAAGACGGATAAATAAGGATCGGGCTAGGGCGGTTAATGAGGGGAATACTCCCTCTATTACCCTAAGATGCGGGCACTGTTGTCCCATGAAAATGAGGGAACGGCTTTGTCCCTCTTTTTGATGCCCTCTGGTGTCCGTCTTCTTCGCCGGTCGTACGAGCGTGAAGGCGGGTGGCGATCGTCAGCAGAGTGGCAATTGTCGGGTAAAGTTGTACAGGCGGCGCGGGGGTTGCCAGTATAGGGATGTGTAGGCTACGACTTGAGGTGGACGTACAGCATCGGAAGGCAACATGGGAGGTGAAGGATGGCTACGTGGGGAGGACTAGCGGCACAATGAGGCAGGTGGTAAAGGAGATGCGAGCTGGCTTTGCTGGAAGGTGCGCTCGAGCAATGGTACCGGTGACAGGAGAGGTATGGTCGAGAAGTGTCCACGAACCATGGGGAGAAGATTAGGCACACTAGTTAAAGGAAGAGTGATAGGTGGGGACGTGGTGTTCATGGATGATAAGTGAGACATGGTAGTAATAATTGTTGATATTGTTAAAGATCTGTATCATTCTATTTCCCTGAATTCTTCCGACCAAACAAAAAATCAACTATAAACAGAAAAGTAAAAAGATCCCTCGTAGAAGTCCATTGTGTATTGCAAATACATGCTTTTGGTTCCACCAATCACCTCTTTTCTCTAGCGAGGGCTGGGTTGGATTGTCCCCACCGGCCAGATTAGGGTCAGTGGTTCACCATGGACATCAGGTTTCGCACTTTCGCAGTTTCGGATGCCCACCGCATCCTTTGGTTGGAGAAAGTTAGTTAGTGCAAGATAATGCAATAGCGACAGTGGCAGACGAGCTGGTGCAGGATAATGCAGGGATTGCCAGGATCCCAGGGCAGCATGCAATCGCCAAACGTGGTAGTTGTGACTTGCGACAGAGTTCGCTCGGAGCCTAGGTTATGATACGCGGCGACGCAATGGCGGAAACACGATGGTTGGCGCTGGGCCCAGCCGGCCAGCCCAGTGCAGATAGGTGAGATCTTGGAGGCCCAAGTTCCACCAACACACCTACACGCTCAGAAAAGCTTCAGCTTTCCAGATCACCACTGGTTGGTTACAGGAGCTGCGAATTTACGCTGCAGTCTTGAGCATCCAGAAGAGAGAGATGGACTCGTGAAGCGCAGCCTCTTCGCTGATCAGATGAACCATATCTGCACCGGCACGTCCTCGTCTGTCCGTCGCCATGGCGAGCCGCTGCAGCTCTGCTACCCCCAAGAGGCAAGAGAATTCCTCGTTCAGTCGTAGGGGTTCCTGAACTTCTTCAGGAGGTCCGGGATATCATAGGCCAGCATGTCATCCACGCCCTGAACCATCTTGGGCCTCAGCTTCTCGAACTGGTCGAAGTTGTAGGCGCTCAGGAGCTCCCTGTACTCCTCCACGCTCGGGAAGTCACCTGGCGGCAGGTGCAGCTCCTTCTGGACCTGTACAAGGGCAGTTCGGATTCAGAGACAGCATATGTACATGGATGGGCTATACATGTGGGTCCAACTAACCTTGGCGAAGTGTTCATCCAGGCCGTCAAGCAGCTTCTGCTGAGCCTTGGCCTTGCCCATCAGTGCGGGCATCTCTTTCTTCAGATGGCTGATTATGTGCGCGTGGACTTTGGCGGCCCGAGCGCGCTTCACAAACTCGTTGATCTGACGTCCCAAGTGTCCAAAGATCCATCAGAAGGTAGAACCAGTGAAATCAAAATGGCAAAATAATTACTGAATGTATATGGCGATGTGTTCTTACCCGACGATCGCAGGCCTTCTTGGGGATGTCGTTGAGGTCCGAGAGCAAGTCATCTTGTTCTTTCTGGAACAGCTCCATGCCCAGTGGGCCAGCCGCTGTCTCCCTGATGGGCTTGTCGTTGAATGAACTAGAAGAGGAGGCAACTAGTTCAGTATTTTACTTCAGTGACGCTGATGCAGCCATGGAAATATCTGATCGACAGTTTGCCAAATGTAAGGTCTCCAGTGAGAATGGCCATACCCTATGTAGACACGCATGACTTCTGGTGTGTTCAGGACTTTCCCGAGCGACCATAGCAGTGCTCCATACACCCTCATCAGCTGAAAAAATATTTTTTTTTCTTTTTTGCGTCAGGAGACTGACAGCTGCTTATTAGAAGGGTTAAACTGTTGAGATATCAAGGTTCGAAAGATAAGATAAGATATGTTGCTGGTGCTGCATATTTCAAGAGTACACATACATAGGAGCAAGGAAAATGGAATATGCCGACATGTTGAGAAGGATAGAGAAAAGGGCATTATGGCGATAAGCAGGAATACTCGCCTGTTGTGCATCAATTTGGTCTGCCTTGTTGAGAACTATGCGTATTTTGTCATCATGCCCGCGGAGTGACCCGATCACACGCTTGAACTCATCGCTGATGTCAAGTTTATGCGGGTCAAACAGGAGAAGAATAAGGTCACACTTGGCCGCAAACCATGACGTAACTCCAGTGAAATCATAGCTGCGCTGCGTTCGCTGCTTCTCCCCTGATAAAACTCCAGGAGTATCCACGAAGGTTACATGCTCTAATAACTTCACAAAGAAACCGGTAATGTTAATTTCTCCCGCAACAAGAGCACAACAAGGTGGATGTAGATATTCAGTGCAAGATAAGGATCATACTGGATGTGGCATCTGAGAACATTCAAACTTTGATAAAAATGCTGTTCCGAAAGATGACAGGCCACTGTATGGCATGTCAGCTTGAACGGCAATGGTGTTTCCAGGAATGCATCTTTCATCCGGTCCAGACTGCGGTGGTGGAAGCAGGTATCATAGGAATGACAGGATGCATGGAGAAGATACATACTGATTACTGAATGATTCAATGGATGATAAGAGTTCAAGAGAACTTACAGTGATGACAACAAATCTGTCTGTTGTAGGTTCTGGTCCAATATGGGCACCTGCACAAGGATTATTGCAGAAATTGATAAAATTTATTCAAAGAAGTGATGGGATACACCAACAATGGGTAATCCATCTTTCTCGCCTGGATAACTTGTCTTTAGTAAATGCTTTATGAATGTTGTTTTCCCCGTGGAGTATTGACCCAACAGCATGACCATTGGCTTCGCATCAAAATCACTGCTAGTCTGTTCGAGGGAAAAAAGTCAATGCTAGCCTACAAATATAATATCTTAAAGAAGTATGATCTAGAAATCTCTAAAAATTGTAGAACAGAACAGATATCACAAATTATTTTTGCAATACGACACTTCTACCAAAGTTGTTGAAATGAACAATGGATAATTTGCAAAAGCTTTTAACAAGAATCTGTAAATCTATTGTTTCAGTACGACCTTTGTTGTAAAACAAATAGAATTGTAGTGAAAACAAAGGGGTGATGATTACCAGCAAGGGAGAGACAAAGTCATGGAACTGATAAGTTTTTTCCAAAGGCCTCAACTTCTCAATGTATGATTTCTTTAGCCCATCGATGATTGAAGTGACTGATTTCAAAGGAATCTGTAAAAATAAGATGCCATAATCTTTTAAGAACATTCAAAGCTTTGAGTAATTACATGCGGGGGACACGTTCGCGAAAAAAATAGCTTTGAGTAATACGTTATCATGCATCTAGTTATTGGTGTACCTTCTTTCCTGACTTGGAGTTGAACCAGCTGGCAGGTATTGGTGATTCTGATGGATGACATGCTGCATAATGCGCAAGCATATCAGTCAGGTTTCAGAAACTCAACAGACAAAAGAGTTAGGTCTTCCATTAGGTTTGAAGGTAACAGCACGTACCAACAATAGCAGACTCGCCCTTGCTTCCAGAGTTCTTTTTCTTCGAGAATCGTAAAGGAAAAACAGGGGAGATATAAATAAGGCTGTATGCTGTTTCTGCATTTTGATTCATGTTAAGAGAAAGATACCGTGACATACTAGTTTTTTAGCCAGACCTTCCATTGTGGGGGGCTGCAACCTATCGAGGTCTGAAGAAAAAGAAAACATTCAGCGGATTTTCTTTTCTTCAGATAAATATCATTACTAATTAAATAGCCTTTGAATGTGCTTTACCTGCATTTGAAAGGGTGTTTTGACTGATTTCGTTCCCTGTTTGTGCAAGAGAAACCAGCTGCACATTGCTATCCGGTTTAATATACACAAATAGAAAGACAAGTCCATATAGGCAGAGATCAGACTGAAGAAGAACATGTATCAAATATATAAGTGTACAAACCTGCATGGCAGTCATAAACTCGTAGAATCCAAGATATCCCTGGCGTTTGGAATCAGCGATCGCCCAAACCTGAAGATGCAAAGGAAACGTTTAGGTGAGTTGGTTTAAAACAGAAACATTTTGATCTTTGGGAAACTGAGAATCCAATCCAAGAGAAAGAATTGGAGAAAACACGTGCAAGCGCTACGTATGAAAACTAGCTGTAACGCTGCTAACGCATCACTTGTTTCTGCATAATGCAAGAAATAGCGTTTCCCAATGCACGCATGCATGCAGAATCGCAGATCTTATAGTTCACGTTGCGACTGAAGGTGCACGACAGCACGTACGAACACGTCAATTCACCTGCTTCAGCTCGGGCTTGGAGAGATTGGACATGGCGAAGAACCTGAGCGCATCGTTCCCCGTCAGGCGCCCATCTCCGTCTTCGATCCGTTCCGGTGCAATCAAATACAATTCAGCGACATCCATTCATCCGCAAGACGCGAGCGTAATTCGACAGGAGGCGCGTTGGAGCAAACCTTCGTCGGCGAGGGCGAACCACTGGAGGTAGGCGGCGCGCTGCTCCTTGAGGCTCCACTTCTTGGGCGACGAGTCCGGCCCCATCTCTCCCCGGCCCGTTCACCTCCCTCCCTGCCGGAGTCCGGGGAGGAGACGAGGAGACGAGGAGGGAGGACGAGACGGGAGGGGCAGACAACTCGCGCCTCGAGGAATGCCACCACCGCAGAGGCGCGCGCGGGCAGCGTCTTCCCGCGGGTTAACGTACGGGGATCGGCGCCTCCAGCCCGCGGCAAACGCGGCGCCTCCCATCGACCCAGCCGCTCGCCCCTCCACGCCCCACGCGGATGGCGCGCGCGCGAGACCCGGTCCCGCGGGCGCGTTTGGGGGCGGTCAAACCGAAGTGGGGCCCGCCGGGCTCAATTCACAAACCACCACGAGCCGCAGGATCTCACGTCGCGTCGGGTCGGGTCGGGTCGCATCAAAAGGCGGTGGTGCCCTGCCCCTGCGCGTCTGGGGCGGCGGGACTTGCGAGTGCGTGCGTGACCGAGACCACGCGGCGCCGTCCCTCTGGCCCCGCGCCCGGCGCGCGGCCGCGTGGGTGGGTGGCGGCGGGCGGCCCTGAACTCGCGCCGATCTGCGGGGCCCCATCGTCCACGTCTCGGATGGCGGTGGGTCAGCGGGCAGGCAAGGCAGGCATCGTATCGACCGGCCTATCGGGTGAGGTGTGTGGCCACGGTGCCGCCGCCAGGCGCCAGTTGCAGGTTGCAACTGGGACTCGGAGCCGGGGCCACGGCACCGGCACGGCAGGCGGCTGCGGAGTGCAGACTGGGACTGCAATGCGCCGTCATCGTGACAAGAAGTGTGGGTCACGCGTCCTGTCCAACGTTATCCTCTCTTTGGATTCAGAAGAGGCGGCAACGTATTGAGGATTTTTTATAAGAGGCGGCAACGTATTGATTTGATTTGATTCTCATGCGTTTTGAGCCTAATTGGTCCAGTGTTTGAAGTATGCACTGAACTAAACAAGGGCTGATTTGATTTGATTCTCATGCTAGTATGCCACGGTATAGCTAGCTCGGTGTGGTAACTCGCAGGGTTTTCCCCCGCATCAATTTGTAGAAAAAAAAAAGCAAACTTATACGTCTGGGACTACAAGAGATGTACTCCCTCTGTCCCTCAATAGCAAGTTTAGAATAGATTAGTATTGACTGAGAAAAGACCATACTATCATTTATTAATTACAGTAGTTGCACGTTGATCAATAATTATAGCATTTACTGCACCCATCTAACTATAGAAACTCAAACATGGATTGGTAGAAAGGAGTGAGAAGAGGGGGGTGCAGTAAATATGAGAGGATTCCGAGGAAAAATAAATGAGCTAGTGGACCATTTAGTCTCCTAAAGATTGATATATTTATAGACAAATTTTGGTGCTAGGAATCTATCGGCATGTTCGTTGGTTGGTTTCTGAGCTGATAAGCTCGGCTGGTGCTGGTTTATTGTGAGAGGAAAACATTGTTAGCTGACTGATAAGCCCTAACTGAAATTAACAGCGAACATGCTGTATTTATTCAGAAAAAAGAGGGAGTATATACAAATGGCACAGACACGATGCGGAAGGATTTAATTGATTTCAAGCATAATACAAATAGGCCAAACATCTTAGCTATAACAAGTGGGACTTCTAACTTTCTTCAAATGCTTTACGTGGCCAACTAAAGTGTACGTTGGGAAGAACATGTTATGATAAACTAATGGAGAAGTGGACATATAAGTACGTGCAAAGTGGCTTCTATGGCTCGAAATTGGCTAGTTCTGTTGCAGGAGGAGATATTTTTGATAAAACAGATAATAGATGAGGTTATGAAGATGCTAAAGACATTGCCATGGCTACCAAGCCATTGGTACATATTGACCGGAGTCAAGTAACGAAGAAGGCAATTCAAAGCTACAAGTCGTGGAAATCTTGTAGGGAATTGCTGGCGCCCGGATGTCCGATGGGATAGGATTCCATCGGACAGTACCCAACGGCCCATTAGAAACGCGCCGCACTTCCACCGTATCGTTGCAGTCCTTCCTAGTCTGCCTCATCCCGCCCCGCACGCGTACCCCGCCTCGCCCTGCCCCGCGCCCGTCACTCCTTGTCCCTACCCCCCTCATCTCTCTCTCCGCGCAGGCAGGACCCAGGAGCCGGGATGAGGACGAGCACACCCCATCCACAGAACCCCAGGCGCGCCGCACGCCCCATCCGCTGGCCCTGGCTAGCCGCGCCCCTTCCCACGGCGCTCAAGCCGTGCCCCAATGACTCTCTGAACATACCTCTGAAACACGAAACACTTGCAACATGAAACACTTGAATGCAACATTAATCTGAAGCAAATAAAACATTTGGAACATACACTTGCAACATGTGTTTGAAACATATGCAACATCCAGATAAAACACTTGCAACTTGCAACATGAAAACACTTATTGCAACATAAGACTGAAACATTTCGAACATACTCTTGCAACATATGTGTGAAACATATGCATCATCCAGATCATACATGCTTGCAACATACGTCTGAAAAACAGATGAATCATTTTGAACGAACTCTTACAACACGCTTCTAAAAACTTGCAACATGCCTTTGGACCACTTTGCAACATATGCAACATCTCGATGTACTTTTGCAACATTCATATGAAACACTTGTCACATACCACTGGAACATCTAAAACACTTAAAACATACACTTGCAACATGTCAGACGCGACACTCTAGTGGGAGGCGGCCATCATGTCAGGTGCGTCGAGGAACTCGATACCCACCTCGATGGGTAGATCAGGGGCTGGGAGGTGGTGGAGCGAAGAGCACCACTGAAAGCTCTAGTTTGGTTTTGGTGAATTGATGAAACCATAAGTGTTAACCTAGTTTATCAAGTGATCATGAGATAGGTAGCACATTCCAAGTAGTGAAGCATATGAAGATCATGACATGATGATGGTGATGCCATGGTGATGATCATATGCTTGGACTTAAAAAGAAGAAAGAGAAAAACAAAAGGCTCAGGGCAAAGGTATAAATAGTACGAGCTATTTTGTTTTGGTGATCGAGACACTTAGTGAGTATGATCCCATTTAGGATAGATAGCCGTACTATTAAGAGGGGTGAAACTCGTATCGAAATACGGTTATCAAAGTGACACTAGATGTTCTAACTCATTGCATACGCATTTAGGATCTAGTGGAGTGCTAACACCCTTGAAAATATTTGTGAAAATATGCTAACACATGTGCACAAGGTGATACACTTGGTGGTTGGCACATTTGAGCAAGGGTGAAGAAGATAGACGTGAAGAGGAGTTGGTCTCGCTGGTCACAAAGTGACCGGACGCTGGTCTCAAAGGAACCAGCACATCCGGTCGATTGTAACAGTGAAGACGCTGGCGTCGGTCTAACGACCGGACGCTGGGTCGCTCAGCGACCAGATGCTAGAAGGCTGTGTCCGGTCATGTTGACCAACGGCGTAGTAGAAGTCAACAAGTGGTCGAACGCTGACTATGTCCGGTCAAGCATGACCGGACGTGTCTGGTCGTGAAATATCGTTTCTGCAACCTTACTAGAAACGACCGGACGCTGAAGGCTGAGCGTCCGGTCAGTTTTGCGCTGTGTCCGGTCAACAGATGACCGTTGAAATCTGACGAACAACATTTGAAGCAGGGGACACGTGGCATGTATCACGTGACCGAAAGATGAGGGACAGCGCCCGGTCGATCGGACCGGAGCGTCCGGTCACCCCGCGTTTTACCCAGTGAAGAGGTACAATGGCTCTATTTTCGTGGGGGCTTCTATTTAAGCCCCATGGCCGGCTCAAGCTCACTCTTTGAGCCATTTGCATTGACATGGCAACATTGTGAGCTTAGTCAAAGCCCTCTCACTTATCTCCATCATAGATTAAACATCTTTGTGAGATTGGGAGTGAAACCAAGTGCATTGCTTGAGTGTTTGCATCTAGAGGCACTTGGTGTTCGTGTTTCGCTGCGGGATTCGCTTGTTACTCTTGGTGGTTGCCGCCACATAGACGGCTTGGAACAGCTAGGATCATTGAGCGGAGGTTGGTGATTGTCTTCGGCTCCGATCGTGGTGATTGTGAGGGGTTCTTGACCTTTCCTCGGCGGAGAGCCAAAAGGTACTCTAGTGGATTGCTCGTGGCTTGTGTGATCCTCATCTTGTGTTGGTTGTGCGGCACCCTATTGAGGGTTTGGCGTGTGATGCCAATTAACGCGTGAACCACCAAGTGAGTGTATCGCCACAACGAGAAGTAGCTTGCCGGCAAGCAAGTGAACCTCGGTAAAAAATCATTGTGTTCATCATTTCGATTCCGAGGTGATTGGTCTTCATTGTTATTCATCCTTGTGATTTATTGGCTTCCTCCTCGACACGGCGGTATAACTATCTTGCTCATACTCTTTACATTACCGCAAACTAGTTGTCAAGCTCTTTAGCGTAGCCTAGTTGTGAGAGCTTGTTTGCTTGGTTGGTGTGGCTCTTTAGTTAGCTTTTGAGAGCACACTAACTTAGGGTAGTGTTATAGCGATTGTGTGAATAGATACTATCTAAACTAGAAGTATGGTAGGTGGCTTGCATTTTGAGTAGGCTAGCGCAATACTTGCTTCGCCTCATAATTGTCTAACCGTTTTGCTAAGTGTTGTTGTAGAAATTTTTATTAGGCTATTCACCCCCCTCTAGTTATTATGACCTTTCAACTACGGGCTTGGTTACCGCGAGCTTCTTCCGCTGGGGGCACCGGGGCGCGCGGAGCCTCGATGTGAGCGCAAAGTATGGCACAGCCGCGACGCCCTCGTGATCTCCAGCCACATGAGGAGGTGACGAGGATGACGCTGGCGCCGGCTCCGGCGATGAGGGCAGGGGCAGACGCGACTCCAGCAGCGTAGCATGGCGTCGCGGAGGCTAGGGAGGGCCTCGGGGCGAAGAAAGTGGAGGTGGTCGCCGCTGGAGAAGGCGAGTGGTAGGAACGCCACGACGGCCGTGTCGTTTTTTTTATTTTTGAGAAACGGTGAAAGAATGAAGGTAAAGGGAAACATGCCTAGTTGGCTT